TCCCTGTCCTCAGTCCTTCAGAACCCCCTTTCCAATGTCCTGCTCTGGCTTCCCTCCCTCACTTCTGCACTGGGACTGTTGGGGGCGCTTGTGTGCTGAGCAGCAGGTGAGGGGCTCCCGCTCCCCAGCAGCGGGGACCAAAGCAGCTGGCAGAAGGGCAGCAGCAGAGCAGCACACAAGGGTCTGCACACTGAGGCACTGGGTCTTGGGCATCACAAGAACAACCTTGAATTATTTCCCTCTAGGTCTCATGTAAGCACGTCGCATGCCACTTAAATGTTCCATTTAAAATAATTTCTCACTTCTCGTGTTGGAAATGCTTGAAAAAAGTATTTTTGAGGAAAAGGAAGGTGACCTAGAGGGCGTGCCCTTTGACCTTGGTGCAGAAAGGGAAAGTGGATGCTGGCTATATTTAGCCACAATCTTTACCTCATGGGGTATTTTTCCCCTCTTCCTTCTAGGTTTATTTAAACAAAAGCGAAGGATTACTACAAAATGAAAACAATTACGGGCAGGAAAAAAGGACAGTTTTATAAAACAGCAGGACCCTACTGAAGCCCTTTGAATTTTGTACTCCCCAGCACCCTCAAACCCCAACCAAGACCTCTCTCTGCCGTCTTCAGCATGTGGCTCACGGCGTCTCTGCCACATACAGTAGCTGGATTAGGGCTCGGGACCACAAGCCAGGAATGCAATAAGATACTTTTACACGTATTGATCCTTTAAAAAAGAGTTTGTTTTCATGAAACTTTAATTCACTTTTTTTTTTTTTTTTAGCTTTTTAGCCTAACTGCTACACATTTTATCCCTGTTCTTTGTGAAATGCTAATCCAGCCCAGGGTTTTCGTTTTCCGGGTGTAACTTTTCAGAAATTGTATATCTGCATAGCAACCCTGCAAGGGCTGCCTATGTCACGGTATCACATGTCAGAAAGATGAAAAGGACTCCAAATCTAAGCTCTCCACAAACTTGGCCCTCCAGTTCGGAGGCAGAGAGCTTCTTGGCCTAAACATAAATGGCAGGAGAGACATTTCAGGGCCAGAAAGGTGCAAACTTTTATCTTGTTGATGACAGAAAATGACACATGACCACAGCTCGGCTTGGTGGAGACGATCAAACCAGAAACAAAGGCCGTATTTTTCTCTGCTCTTGTCCCTGCTGTCAGCTTCCAAGTGCAACCTGAGCCTGGATTCTGAACCCAGTGTCCAGATTAGAGATTGTTGACTCAGATTTAGCGGTGAAACGTGAGCCGGACTCTGTTGATGGCAGGCCTTGAAGGAGCAAGTTTACTTAAGCCAAGAGAGAGATTGTGTGTCAGGCAAGAGCCTGGCTTTTCTTTATCACAAACTTCCTGGTCTGCCTCTGTTTTAATAGTTTCCACCACCACCAAAAAAAGAGAGGGCAAGAGGCAGGCCGAGAAGTAGAGGAAGCACCACTTTCAGCTCCATCTCTTCTGTGTCATAAATCAGGAAATTAACAAGTGCGTAAATGGCCTTTGCCACAGTTGAAGACAATGGACTTTTTGTATTTCTTACTGGTGGCCGGCACTTAACATAATCAATAGAGAGCTCCGCTCAGAAAGGATGAAAAATGGGGCTTGATCTGGCCATTTAAAGGCTATTTCCCAATGCTCGCGCACATGGCTTTTATGAGACTCAAACATAGCTTAGAAACTTGCCTTTCGGTCTGAAGGCAGGTCATTAAGAGAAATCATTACTTCGCTTCCCTGTCTCTGTCTCTCTCTCCATTTTTACTTTGGCATTCTCCCGGCTTTTCCTTGGCTTCTGATTTCATCCCTTTTTTAGATTCTCTGCGCCTTCAGTAATTTATGTGCAAGATATTTTCCCAACCTCCAAATGTTTTTCCATTTGGCAAACCCTGTCCCGAAGCCTCCACACAATGTAACTATAGAGTTCATTTATGCTAGAAAACATAAGCTTGGTTAATGGAAAAGCCGAGGCGGCTGATGTGGTGACCCTACAACCCTGGCCGTCACATGGATCCTGCGGGCCGCCCCTGGGGACACACAGGGAAGGGTGTCAGGAGGAGTGTCTTTTCCAGGTTGCCACAGATGCTTGGCTTCCACCTTCCCTGTCTCCAAAAAGGAAAGAATTCCTTCCAAGCCCTTTCTCATATAGTTTTTGGAAGCTTCGGGGCACCATATGGAGAATCACTTCATGATTCTCCTGATGGCTTTTACGTGAGCAGCTATAAATTGGATGGTTTCCTTCAGGTCTGATAGTCCTACGGTACCTGCTATGGGTGGTTGGGACTAGTCACTGAGTAGGTTTGTCCTGTGTTATTCTTGATGGGAAAGAAGAGCCATAGCCCCTCCTGGCAGGGGCCCCTATTACTTTAGGAAATAAAACCCAGGGTGGGGGCGGTTAGGATGGGCCAGGTCACAAAAGCCTCCCCACAGATCACTTGGGTGATTCCCCACATGACTTATTCAGCCCGTCAATCTGGATTTAGGACTTAGCAGTGCTCCTTCCAAGCTAGGGCTTCTGAGCATTTCCCCAGGGCTGGGCCGTGCCCCTCGGTGAGATGCGTACAAGGTCAGGGCGCTGCTTTCCATCTGGTCATTCACAGGACATAGCTGGACAACATCTGGCTAGCTAGACAACAGCTAGCTGAAACACTAGCTCACTTCATTGAGAAGCTGGCACCTTTTTTCCCCGAGCAGTTGCAATGGTACAAACTCTCTGCATTTTCTTGTCTTAAGGGGGAGCATGTGAAGCACTCTCTCACTTCTTGACCCAAGCAATCTGTTGATTGAATAAGCAAATCAAAAGCAGAGAGTCATTCTAATAAGGAGAAAGCTTTAGGCAAGAAATAGAGAGGTGCGGGTTTTGTCCCTATCTAGTGTTTCCTTAACTCATTTGAGTTCTTTGGCCCTGGCCGGGAGATCCTCCCAGCAAAGGAGGGTTAGTGGGCTCTATTGTACCAGCCATTAGTGAGGAATGGACTTCTTAAACTGTCTCCCAAGCATCTATGTAAAAAAATCACAGAAATCATACTACTGTAGATGGTTTGGCTCAGGGAACTCTTTCACTCAGATGTATTTTTAGGCTTTTGTTTATCTTTCTTGATTGATAAAGTAATTATCAAAATGCGTTAGAAAATAATAGCCAACTGGTGAGAAAAGGGAACAGTTGGAGGAAACGAAGCACTGGAGGAAAAGCACCCACAGACTCTACCTCTGGCTTTCCAGCAAAGCTCCATGGAAATTCATCTTCTGTGTGTCTTCTCTGGGGGGCAGATCAGGGATCTGGCTAAATAAAGTCTCTGCATCACACCGTATATGATTAACTCCCTCCAAAGGCTGTCTCAGTCCTCCTTCCCCTTTCCTCGCCTCCTCTCTGCTCTGAAGTCTGCTGCTGGCCAACCAGAATCCCAGCAGATGTTTGTGTTTTATGAGCCAAATGGGAGCCTGAAGGATCAACCAAATACCAGCCCCACTGAGAGGGGGAACGAGGCCATCTGACATCAGGAACGCAGAACACCGGCCTGTCCAGCAGGGGTGGGCTGCCAGGGAACAGAAGGAGGCCTGGATAATTAGCTGGCACTGCCAACCCATTGGCCCATTGCTCCGTCCTTCTGAAGAGCATGCAGAGGCCTATAATGGAGGCTCAGGGAAGTTGGGCAAGACCCTCCGTAAGTCCACCCCCTGGCTGGCAGTCCCGGTCCATGGTGGCTCCCCCTCATGCCAGAGCACCATGTGGCGCTCTGACTGGCTCCTGGCGCAGGAATGAGCAGGAGGTTAAGGACGCCTACCCTGGAACGGCTCGGTAGGACCGTGCTGTCTCAGTAGACACCCCCACCCCCAACCCACTGCAGAGCCAGGCAAGGAGAATGGACAGAGCTGAGCAGACAGATGGACAAGCTTGGTTTCTGTCTGAGCTGCACCACTGACTGCTGTGTGCTGCTGGCTGCGTTGGTCTGAGGTGTCTCCGAGGCTTGGTTTCTCCATCAGTAATACGGAAATGGTAATGCCTCCTCCTGGGGTTTCTTCCAGGATTAAATGATAGTAAGTGTGCGGCTCTGGGCCTGCCTGCCCTCAGATCTATTCCTCACCTTCCTGCTCCGCTCTGTGTGGCAGGGGACCTGAGCCTCGCTCAGTTCAGCTAGTGGGAGGCTGGGGAGGTGTTTCTTTCCTTCTGTCCCTGCCTAAGACAGCTTCCCAGCAGCGCTTTCCCTTCCTCCACGTCTCCGGTGCCCTCTGAAAAGCGCTTAGGAATTGCAGCTCTCCAAATGGCTCCATCCTCAGGATTGCCTCACGGTCCCCTGTCCAGCTTCTCAGCTCTCCGTCACCTTTGTAGCCAGCTCCCTTTGTTGCATTCCCTTGAATGCAAATGACTGTACTTTTCTGTTGCCCTGGTGGGCCTCGGCCGAGAGGGTATGAACCTGGAGACTATCTCTCACCTAGAGGGTATCGGGCCTCCTAAAGGCACCGTTCCAGTGAGCAGAAAGGGCTGGACTGCTCACACAAAGCATCAGGCTCCAGAGTTTGCCTAAAGCATCAGGATCTTCCCAGGCCAGTTGTCACCCTGAATCAATTTCCAAAGAGGTTCTTCACCTTGGGACTTTGTAAAGACAGAAAACATAGGATAGAACTCTATATTTTTTTTTATCCCATATTACTTTAAACATATATCCCGTAATGAAAGTGTTCAGTACACGTCCGGTATACCTTCCACTTACTCCTTGCTAAGGATCCTGTAGGCAATGTACCCTGGTGTATCTGGACTCTCAGGCTCTGCTGATCTTTCTCCGTGTCTGTGCCACTCCAGTTCCACACCAGGTAGCATTTCTCCGACTTATTCTGAGTTTTAGTGCGGGTCGCCTCGCCAAGCTGCCTGCTCTGCCCATGGCCCAAGTCTTGTTGGCCAGCAGCCCTTTCTGTCTGCATCCTGTCTCTTGGTTCTGCTGTGCTATGAGGGTGGGGACAGTTGTACTCCACTCCTTTTGGCAGGAAGAATAACTTCCTTATTGAGGTCAGAATTGAAAATGGATTTCCCCAATGGGCAGCGATAGAGGCCTGCGCTTCCTGAGCACTGTAATCAATCGGCTGCCGAGGCGCGGGGCCCTCCTCGCTTAACCATTCCCTGCCCGACACGGGGAAGGCTGCAGAGAGCTCTGTGGGCGCTCACATGTTTTCCGCGTGTCGGTCACTGTGCTGCGGTGGGTACCGCGTGGGTTCCCAAGCTGCCCTGGCTCCCTGCTCCGGTCGCGTGGGAGGGTTCAGGGCCCAAGCTGCTCTGTGGAAGAGAAAAGGCTGAGTCTCGAGGAAGTGGGGCAGGAACTGGGGACGGTAGGACAGCAGTGTCCCTGCTGGAGGAGCCCCTTAGTATTCCAGGCGAGCTTTGGTTACATTACCTCAAACAGACCTAGGAAAGCACTCGTTCTACATGAGGCTTCTTCCACCCTTCGTGCAGTCCCCACCGATGTCACAGGGACCACAGCACGGCGCATTTTAAACGTGTCTGTGGCCTCGTAGACAGCTCTGTGCACCGAAGATAAATCGTGACACTGGAGGCCAGGTGGGCCTTGATTCTTCACATGGTTCAGCACCCTCATTTTTGTGCCTGAGGAGGCTGAGGTATGGAGGAAGGCTGGATCCGGTGGAAGTGGCACACAGCTGGTGAGTGGCAGTGTCGAGGTGACAGGCTGGGTCTTTGTGGACTCTCAAGCTAGTGCTCCTTTCTGCAGCCCCTGCAGCAATTGAGCCAACTAAAGCATCTGCTGCCTCGATGGATATGCACTGTAGCCCAGGGAACATGAATGGTGTGCTGGTAAGTGTCTAACCGCAGACTCTGGGGTGGGAGGGGGAGTGTGCTTACACAACTGCGCGTTCATTCATTATGAATTTTGCTGTCACAAAGATCGTATAGCACACAATTTACAAATAATAATAAAATACGCAGTGCCAGTCTAAATTCCATAGAGCCAACTGATTCGCACTGAATGCTTTTGTGGAATTTTGCTGAGTTATTGGAACTGGATCTGGTTGCAGATTCTCAGTGAGTATAGTTCTGACATTAAGGTTGAATAGTGTTTCCTAATATGTTAATGGCTGAGACAGAAGTGAAACTTCCAAAGCACAAGTTGGAACCTTGCTCATGGGTCAGTGTCATGAGTGACTTCTTTCCTAAATCAGATAACAGTTTTCAAATACTGGGAAGATATTTCCTCAACTTTTTTTCGCAGCCACAGATATGCTACACTTTTGAGTTTAATTCTCATTATTAGCACTTTCCATCACTTTCTTCAGTCAAGACAAACAACAAAATACTATATCGAGACCTGATTTCTAGCATTTGCTAATTGACTCCATCGTGTAACTATTCTCCCCGTGACAGGTTTCAGGTTATCAGTATGATGTCATTATACTCCAAGCCCATAAAACGTGGGGTGCACACCTTGTCTAATAGTTCCACCCTCTGAGAGAGCAGATGTAACAACAAACACAGATAGTGATGTAAGGTAGGAGAAGACCTGAAAAGTGATACGCTTTTAGCATTTGTTATCTTTATTTTGAATGACTTAAATTTAAAATGTGAGTAATATTCAATGATATCTGCATTTAGAAGTGGCAAATTTAGGGGGCTGGGGATTTAGCTCAGTGGCACAGCGCCTGCCTGGCAAGCGCAAGGTCATGAGTTCGATTCCTGGTACCGGAAGAAAAACAAAACAAACAAACAAACAACAAAAGAAGTGAGTGGATAGAGCCCTTCTTCAACCCGCCGCCAGCAGATGGATGGGATGCGCCTGCCACTCACCGTACTTCTTCCTAGGGTACAGCCCACACCACGGGATGGGGGAGACCAGGATGATGGCCACTTGGATCAAGGCATAGGCCGAACCCATGCTAAAAGATAGAGGGTGGACTTAAGAGCACGAACGAGATTACATGTAGTAGGTAACTAAAGGTGGCTTTGGTGTTTTTTTTGGCACTGGAAATCGAACTCAGGACCTAGTGCTTGCCAGGCAGGCACTGTGCCCCTGAGCTATAGCCGCAGCCCCTAAAGGTGCTGTTTCTGGACATTTTCCCAAATGCCACAGAAAATAGTTGTAAATATTAGACAATCAAGGAGACTGAAAAGGAAGATGCAAAGAAAAGTAAGAAGAAAATAAATGTCTGTTAAGTTTTAAGTGTCCTTTATTAAGAAAGTAACTTCCTGATGCAAAATTCCAGGCTGGCTGTGGTGGAAGCTCCCTGACTCCTGGCCCCACCGCCCTTCCCCATGCCTGCTGTGGTGACGCCCTGTACGAAGATCTGACCTCTTACTTCTTTGGAAGGAGAGGATGAGATTACCAGAGCTTTGGATCCATTTTTGGATCAAATGGAAACCGCAAGCTAATCTTCAGCATGTCCCTCTCCTCTTACAAACGCTGGCCTCGCTGTCTGGGCGGGGCTCACAGTCCCAGGCTGGAGCGGAAGTGGAAGGTCACATGCTCAGGAGGCCTGTGGAGCCCTCTTCCTCCTCAGCAGCACTCTGTGTACCTGGAGAAGCCGGAGAAGCCGTGGATCCACGTACAACTCCAATGTCACTTCCTTGGATGATGCCCCAGGCAGAGTGGCCTGCACTCTCCTCCTTTCTCCCACTGGACTTGTCATTGGTCACACGTTTTTGCTCACTTGTCCCAGTTCTCAATAGGACTGTGGGCTCCTCCAGGGAAAAGATTTCCTTGTGTCAGTGCCTGATGCTCAGGAGGGCTAAATAGATTTTAGACCTTATGTTGCTTTGTTCCATGGTACTCAGACAGGTGTGCATAAGAATTATGTGAAAAATAAATGCAAATGCAGATCCCAGGCCTCAGCCTGGTGAGTTTTAAAAATCTGCTTCTTTTACCGAGACTACGCAATTATGATGCACATATGTTCCCAGCCCACACTAAGAAATCCAGAATTGTTCATCTTCTTGGTGGGGAAACAGAGGGCTAGAGTTACATGATTTGCTTCTGGGTCTGTAGCTCCTTAGTATAATGATGAGACCATGGTTTTTCAGATAGAACCTTTTCACATTCCTACAAAGCTAAATAAGCTAATCACAGCCACACTGACAACTGCTGTAAGAAATATTAAAAACACTTTGAACTGACATCACTGCACACCACATTTTAAAATAGTGACAAGACCGTCCACAGTTAGATGCTTCTGTTAAACTGGTTTATATCCAGACCTCTCCACCCTTTCCTGTCACTGCTAGAATCTCCCTAGAATTTCAAGTGATTTCTTACTGACAGGAGAACAAGTTCTTTGGCAGTTTCTGCCTTTAAATGTTATTTGTCTCGATGGTGTTTACAAAAGTCCATTCACCACAGCCTCTATTTCTGCCAGAGTCCTTGGACCCCCTTCTGATGCTCACGCTTTATGGAGGCAGAAATGGGGTCTCCCAGTAGACCCCCTGTTCAGGTATCTGGTTCCTGCCTATTTCTTCAGGAAATCCTTATTTGCAGGCAGTTGTTTGGAGAGCACTGTGTGTGCTGATTCCTGCCTTGGGCAGCAGGTGCCACCTAGAGGGCCACCATGTCTTCAGTAACACAGCCCAAGGAGACTCAGCGGACCTCGACAGGGCTCACGCCAGCAGTTTTGGTGCTGTAGGAGCAGAGAGGAGGGCTGCCAGGTGAGCCTGCAGGGACAGAGGAGGTCTGGTGGTTCATAGCGCTCAGGGCCCAGCCTTGCTTGATGTGATTCTGTAGTAGGAACCAGGCAGGAGAGGAGCGCTATGTCTTGCCACAAGGTGTCAGTAGTGGGCTGGCCAGGCGATGGTTCTCTTAGCGGGTGCTAGGAGGACGTCCCAGCACACAGGGACGGAGCTCTCTGGTTGCTTTTCAAAATTCCTAGTTTGACACTGCCTTTCCTATTAGCTGGAGCAAGATGATTAAGTTACCAGAAGATCCTCCCTCAGATCTCCCCTCAGTCCTGCCTATGAACTAACCTCATACTTCTCTCAGCCTTTGGAAGAGTGAGATTGCTCCTATCAGGCATCCTGACCACTCCTGCACTGCAGCTTGAAAAGGTCGAGGCATTTGGAGGATTCTGGGCTAACACCAGAGAGACAACAGTGTAGGGAGTGTGTGGAGACAGAATAGTGTGGGCCAGCCATTTTTTTAAAATCTGAAGGTAAGTTCTAGCTTGTCTGCTTGCTAGCTGCTTACTGGCTGTCTGAGTTTGTTTCCCTGACTGTAAAATGGCATCTTCCCATTTTCTCCAGTGCTAACAGTCAGAGGGTTCTTATCTGGGTCAAACGAAATAAACTGATTCGCAAACTATGAGGTGCTGGGTAGATGTGGGTGCAGCTGTTGAGGCTCATCTACCCGAGCTGCGTCGTGGAGCTTCCAGCAGACAAGAGGCACAGACACTGCAGCAGGAGGAAGTGGCTGAGTCTTCTCAGAGCAGGTCATGTGCAGTCTCCAGTGTGAGCTGCCAGCCATGAACTTCTGATCCAGCCTGATAGAGTCATCTTCCAACTAGATCCTTCCTGGATGCCTTTCCATGGCTGGTGGCCAGGGGGAAAGCTGGCAGTGGATGCTTGGTCTTCCTTTACTGAGCCTGCTTTTCCATATTGGAAGAAGATGAAATGAACATTTCAGAACGTAAGTTTTTCCTGCAGGACATTATCCCCGATGGTGGAGTGATGGAGAAAAATATGAGATGAAGTCAGGGGATAACTGAGTACGTACTGATTTATAAACCCATGGAACTGAATGAAAGCATTTTTTCCACTGGTGGGGCTATTTATGATGTCCTGGCTGGCTGAATCCCAAAGTGGATCAGGCTTCGGTTCCCGAGCAATAGAAATAGCGAGACTTAATTTTCTCCTTTGTGCCTCTGTTTAAAACATAGGACCCAGCTCATGTCAAAGTCCATCCCAGGCACAGGCTGATCCAAATCTCACCTTTGTGGTGAAAGGGCACTGGGACACGGGCACGACACATGGGGATGATGGTGATGAGGAGCTGAGGCTGTCGCTACTGGTCAGTGCTCTGCAGAACTCTCTCAATGGCCTGCCTTTGGTGGACAATGCCCCCTGAGCAGTTCTGATGGGATTTTGATTGAAATTTCACTAAGTCACATATAAATCTGTGGAAAAGTGATATCTTTATAATGTAGTTTTCCCATCCATGAACATGGTCTATCCTCCTATTTATTCAATTTCTTTTATAACTTTCAATATAAACATTAAAATTTCTTATAAAGACCTTAGGAACCTCATGTTTGATTCATTCTTAGATAAATTACCCATTTTACTGATGGAATCTTCAAGAAAACCTACATTTTCTTATTGTTGCTCATATGGTGTGTGTGTGTGTGTGTGTGTGTGTGTTGACAGCAATTGACTGAATGGTTGTTAGTTCTGGTAGTTTTTCTATTGATTTTGGATTTCTATGTGAAGAATCATATATTAATAACACTCACTTAAGGTTTTTCCTTTTAGACCCTGACAAATTTTTAGTTTGTTTGTTTTCTTACAGTGCTACTTAGAATCTTGAGGTCATCTTTGTAGTTGTCTAATTTTTAGGGAATTTTTTTGTAAAATTATTTCATTTTGGAATAATTTGAGATTTATACAACAGTTGCAGAGGTGGTGCACACAATTCCCATTTGCTCCTCACCCAGTTCCTACCGCTGTTAAAGCCTGACATAACATAGTGCTCACATCAAAACCAAATCATTGGCTAAGCTCTGACCTCACTCAGAATCACTAGTTCTTCTAAAAGAATATCCTCATTAATTCCCCTTGAAATACTCCTACTTCCAACACACTTATCCCACCCTTCTTGTCACCTCCTGAAGCAGTTGTGCAAGTCCTTCTTCATGACTGTCTTTAGCTGCACAAGGATGGCTGCCTTGATGTCCTGAATGGATTCAAAGTGTTTGCCTTTGATGGTCATTTTGACTTTGGGGAAGAGCCAGAAGTCACATTATGGCCAACTGTGAATAAGGTGCCTGATGACGTGACGTACCCTGCTTCTGAGCCAGCATTTCCACTGGTGGCGCCTGGCAGCATCACTCACCATAGTTTTAAGAAAATCGTACCTCACAAAGACACTCATGAGAGAGGGTTTCTGGAAGTGCTTCAGAAAGCAGCAAGAATGACGGGATAAGTGTGTTCAAAGTGAAGGGGATTTATTTGTATCAGTGTGGACATTTATTTACTTATTTATTGGCTTTTTTGAGACAGGGTCTCACTAGGCAGTGCAGGCTGACCTTGAACTCACTTATGTCGTCCAGGCTGGCCTCAAACTCATGTCAATTCTCCTGCCTCAGCCTCCCAAGTGTTGGGATTACAAGCGTGCACAGTTGTGTTTTTTATACTTTGGGCTATATTACACCATTTATGTTTTTGCTCAAATTGTCCCAGGTTGGTCACTGGAGCTCTTTCAGGTTGACTCCTTTGTCCTTTGACATGGCCTTATCCTTTTTATTAGAAAACATTTTCCTACTTTCGGATAATACAAGGTGCTCTAAGCCCAGCTGTATTTTCCCTGTCCTGCTCCTAAAATTGGCTGTTTCTCAAGAGACCGTGGTTCCTTTTATTTTTTGGAGATTGGAAACTGGAAACCAATATCTGAGTGATTTGTGTGCTCATTAGAACTGGGATGTTGCTGCTTCTAAGACTCTCAGACAGAACCGAGAATATATGTCACACAGCCCTGTGTGTACACACAAATTCCTAGTTATGTCTGGAGCTACTCATTTGCACCTTTATTATGCTCAGCATGAGTTTCACAGGGATGTCTCAGAGAGTAATCCAGTTCTACGTGGTTCTTTCCAGGCTTTTCTCTTCATCCTCTGCAATCTCCCCCTCTAGCAGGTAGAAACCCAGCTTCTGCCACCCACCCCTGATTTAATTATAAGGGAATAGTTTTAAGTCCCATGAATGATTCTTTATTAGGTTAAGGATAATTCCTTTCCATTCCTAGTTTATTCAGAAGTTTTTAATCTTGAATTATTAGGTCATATATTTTAAGTCTGTCATTTACTGAGATGATACTATGAAATGTTAAAATGAGAATATGAAATGGTAGACTATGTATCTCTGGGTGAAAACCAACTTCATAATGGGATGTTTTATTAGACTGAAGTACATGAAATTAGTGTTTTTTGTTAGTCAAAAACGGTCAAGTATCAGCAACCCAATACGTTTCTGGATTTTGTTTGCTAATGATTTGTTTAGAACTTCTGCACGTAATGCTTGTGAGATTAACATATAATTTTCCTGTCACTCTCCCTTGAAATACAAGGCTTTGCTCTTAAAAAGCCAGGAATATTTTTAAAATTATCGCCAGAGAAGGTTGTAAGCATGAAAGTTACTGCCTCTAGAAAGAAAGGGTAAAGAACAGAGAAACGGGGAGAAGAGGTGTCAGAGAGGACAAAGAGTCTGGCTAATTTCAGATGAAAGCCCCAGCCTGCCAAACAGCTGCAGGAGCCTCTGCCAATGTAGCTTCAAGGCCGTTCCCACACCTCACGTGCTGTCCACGCATCCTCAGGATGGAGCAGTGGTGAGGAGAGAGAGCATACTCCTCTGGAGATGCCGCCATGCTGTGTAGGAGACTTGGGAGGCAACAAGAGCTCTATACCATACCTCCCTTGGGGGAACATGGGCTTTGTTTCCCAGCCCACCTTTCTCCTTTCCTTGGGTAAGAGCAGGTTTTCTTTCCTCAGAGAATTACTCTTTCATGCCAATGTTATAGATTCTGAGGAAGCCATATCTCTACACCCTGCCTCCTCTCCCACTGCCAAAATGTGCTGGTGGCACAGGCTTGGCCAGTTATAGAAATAAGCCTGTGCCTAACCTTGATGGCCGGTCCAGATGTTGGCTGGGACTTGCGTGATCCAGTTAGAGTGCCCCCAAGACAGTGTGCAGGTGGTGGTACACAATTTCCTTTTCTGCCTCTTAGATCCTGGGCTGGAAGGACGTGAGTCTGGGACTGCCCACTGCCTGTTTCCCTTATCTCTGTGCCACCCCCGGAGGAGCTGTTTGGAGATGGACACAATGAGATCTCCTCAAAGAGAGAGGTGCGGTGCAGACCTAGAGATGGTCCTGCTGATGTGCTTTGAGTCCCAGGATGCACCTCGCCCACTCCAATTAGATTAGCTATAAATAACTGTAGCTATGCTAAGCTGGGTGTCCTGACACATGTGTGGTTAAATAAGCCGAGGAAGGTCAGGACTGAGGGTGGTGTGCTGTTCTGGTTCTCAGTTTACAAATCTCACCTGCAGGGTGACACAGCTGCGGCAGCAGTTGAAGGTCCTTCAAACAAGCTTATCCTTATTTGCTGGTGGGCAGGAAGTGGGGCTCCTTAACAGACGTCCCTTAATAGAGACCCCAGTCTGGGTAATGTAAAGAAATCTGGGGACTGACGGTGGAGCTCAGTGGTAGAGCATTTGCCTAACACGCATCAAGCCCTGGTTCTGATTCTTGGCCCCTCAAAACAAACAACAAATCCTGAACTCCTGTGCATGACAGTGATGCAGGTGGCACTGTAAAATCCAAACACACGTGAAGATGTCCTTCTGTTCACTGCCTGGTGTGCTTTTTTTTTTGTGTGCTGGGAATCAAACTCATGACCTTGTGCTTGCCAGGCAGGTGCTTCACCTCTGAGCTAAAGAAGTCTTTGCCTGGTGCACTTAAAGAGGACGTTGTCCTGAAGGCAGTCCCCTCTCAGACAGGTCCCTGCAGCTGAGATTATTTGATGAAGGAGGAGGTGGGAGACCCTCTTTCTTTGAGGGAGAACCTTGTCTACCGCACAGCGTCCCCACTTCCCCGCTCACCCGAGGTCCAGGCACGCTGATGTACAGCTGGACTGAGCCCATTGCAAGGCTCTGTGCAGAAGAAGTGGTGGGATAACAAAGCCCAGGGCAGATGTCCCATGAGCAACATGGTGATTCAATTTATTTTTTTCTTGTGCTGCTTACTGTGACTTTACCATTACTGCACAAGGGACTCAGAAACACTGAGTGATTTGTTTAAGGTTAAAGAACAAGTTTTCTTAAAAATAGACTTTTGATAATGAAAAAGTACAAGAAATTATTTTTTAAAATCATTAAAAATTAAGGAAACCAGATCATCCTAAATCCATCACCTAGAGATAAGCACCATTTACATTTTCTCAGATTCTTTTTTTTGAGACAGGGTCTTGCTATGTATCCCAGGCTGGCCTGGAACTTGCACTGATCCTCCTGCCTCTGCCTCCAAGTGCTAGGATTACAGCTGTGCACTACCACACCCAGCTTCAGATTTATCTCTATCAAAGAATAAGTTTAGTTGAATCCAGACCAGAGCTGAAGTTTCTTAATGCCTTTTTAAAATGTTTAAAAATTTTATTATGGCATATCTTGGGCATTTAAGTATAGAAATAATGTGACAAATGTTCATGAACTAGAACTGCGGGTATAGCTCTTGCCTAGCATGCATGCAGCTCTGGGTTGTTTCCATTACCACACACACACACACACACAAAATCATCAATACAAGCTCTATGTAGCATTTTCTATATTTAATTCAGATATCTTTTTTTTTGTCTTTTTGAGACAGGGTCTCACTCTGCAGTCCAGGCTGGCCTTGAGCTCACTTTGTTGTCCAGGCTGGTCTCGAACTTGTAACAATCTTCCTGCCTCAGCCTCCCAAGTGCTGGGATTATAGACGTGTGCCACCACTTCTGGCTTTTTACCTTTTGTTTGAATAAGCACAACAGCGCAGGTTCTTTGAGCCTCTCTTCTGTATTCCTCCATCATCCCTAACCCCTTTACTGAAGATAACAGCTATCCTTTTTGTATTAGATTCTCCAGAGGAACAAATGAGTGTGTGTGTGTGTGTGTGTGTGTGTGTGTGTGTGTGTGTGTGTGTGTGTGCAGTAAGGCAGAATAAAAGGGGCAAATCCCTCAAAGCCCTCCCTCTACCTCACCTTGTGTTCTCTTCAGGCCTTTAACTGATTGCATGGTGGCCACTCATGTTGGGAGGGTCCTGTGTTTTACTGATTCAAACGCTACTCTCATCCGGAAATGCCCTCACAGACATATCCCTGACTAGTATCTAATCTGGGCAC